AATTGTTATTGACTGTGAGTCTCTTTTCCTACCTATAGTGTTTTATTTCTTCAAGGTCAGTGAAAAACGTGTCAGTGGGGCTCTACATAATCCAATGTCACTCCCAATATTAAAAAAGGGGGCAGTGAGCATGCTCATTATTAATTGATTGATAAATGGGGTTTAACGTCCCAAAACCACCACATGATTATGAGAGATGGCCTAGTGGAGGGCTCTCTAAATTTCCACCACCTGGGGTTCTTTAACGTGCACCCAAATTTGAGTAAACGGGCCTACATTATTTCCGCCTCCATCGAAAATGCAGCCACCGCAGCCGGGATTCGATCCCGCAACCTGCGGGTCAGCAGCCAAGTTCTTTAGCCACTAGACTGGGGCATGCTTGTTATGAAGTCCCTTCTATTCTTGTCCATGCATCTTTCACATTGTTAATTTGCCAGGATGGTCATTCTTTTGATAAAGATTAAAGTTTGGCAAATGGCTCTTTTTTTAATTTCTCTTGAGTAGTGAAACTAGCAAGCTCAAATATGAAGAAAAACAACAACAAAAGAACAGAGATGGAGAGAGAAAAGGAAGCTCTAAGATATGCTTTTTCATGTACAGTCCACCATAAATGCTTACCAGTGTATGTTGGCAAAACCATGCCATTTGTAGCATCAATGGACCATCCCAATGAACTCACAACTGCAGAAAGAAGGCAAAAAAAATATATAAGTGCAACAATGAACTTTGATGAACCTACTGACCCTTCCTACCATCAGCTAATTCAAGCTTGGGAATGCCCAGAAAGCAGGAGGCATCATCAAGGGAAATAGAGGAATATGCCTTGGCTACCAGAATCAGGGCTCGCCGTCTTGTACGCTCTGCAATGTAATTTACAGACTGTTCATATCAACAACTAGCTAAAGAAAAAAAGCTGACAATATTCAACACAGGTTTACTTTAAAGGAGTACTGACACGATTTTGAGGTGCGGTAAAACGGACGTTTTTCGTTTCCTTGCAATGTAGTGTTAACGTTCTCCCCACACCGGAACCGGGAAACACGAATAAAACATTTTAAATCTAATTTTGAAGTTTTCATCTCCAGCTTCCTGCAAGGCAGCTCTACCGTCAGGCACAGAAAATTGTTAAGTCATGTAAATTCGTGCGCGTTGGGGTAACGCCAAAAATGCAATGGCAGAAAACGCAACCGGCGCACCTTCTCGACTGCCTGTCCAGCGGTGCGTCGCCGACCGGCGTCGTTCATAGTTGTGCTCTACGCTGTCCCTTTTTCTGCGACGCTTCATGGTCACATCGACAGTGATAGAGCGCTGAGACACATTTGTTGTATGCGAAAGGATGCAAGAGTGATTTCACTCGCACTGTTTTTACGATCGCCGCATCCCTGTTTCACGATGCCACCCACTCCTCGTGCCGTCAAAGGCTGCGATGCGATTCCAAGACCAGGGGCGACAATAGTAAGCAAAGTTTCCCGAACAACCCAGCGGTGAGACAAGTGTGGGTAGATTTTGTGCGCTCCCGCCTGATCGGCAGCTGCGACTGGACGACCATGCCAACGGAACCGGATTTGTTGGCTGCATTTCAGCCCCGACTACTACTGAATCAAGAACCAACGGTACCTTCTTGAGTCCAGCATCGCGCTGCCAACAAGTGATATTTGGAGCCAGAAGCTGTGCTCATGCTTTACGCTGCTTTAGCACAACATCGCGATGCAAATCAAGCATCAGAGCCCCCCCCCCCCCCCCCCCGCAAGCGTCTCTTTCCAGCAGACGATAGAGCTGCATTGGTATGTCACGATTTTCTGCGAATGTCTCAGTCCCTACGAAGCCCGACTTGATACGTCGCTGTCTGTGAAGTCGCTCCTTCGAAATCGAAACCGAAAGTGGGTTTAGAAAGAGTGATATTAAAAATATAGTCAATGCGTTTCCAGGCACCAGAATACTTTTTCCTGGGTCCTCGATACCAGTGCTTTTACTTACAGCAGAAATCCAGAAATTTTCAAAGTTCGTGGCAGTACTCTTTTAAGAAACAAAGAATAGACATGAAATGCTTGTGCTGAAAAGCTCTTATGAGCCTGTATGTATAAAGTTGTACCTCTTTAAAGAAACATGCACTGGGCAGCAATTGTTGTTGCTTAAATGAGGAGTCTCTTATAAGCAGGGTACCCCATTTACATTTTTTATGAACCCTTGTTTCAGTGCAGGCACGCTGGCGTCTTTTGTATCGATTTGTCTTTTACTACTACTTGAACGTGGCTGCTTAGTGGGAAAGTTGTAGGGTGTCTTGATATATGGGACGCTCATATTTTAGAAAAAAAAATCCTACACAATTTGATATACTGATTAATCAAATTTCAATGCTGATATTGTGACGTGACGGTGCGAGACCTAGGTTTATCGTATAGCGTCCACAGAGAATCGGCAGCCGAACAAGATGGCTGAGTTGCCTCTCGCGCAAGCGTCTAATGCACAGGTGTCTTCGTCCTCTTCGCAAAGTACTATGCTAGCTCTTATCGATGGCGTACCGTAACATCACTCCCCCGCGGTGGAAGCGCCGTCACGGCGCTTGGTACGGCGGCGACGAACTACCAGGGTTATACGGTTTGAGTCTGGAAACGTGGACAACATCCGTCTGGAGAGAGGGGGACGAAGAGGCATTGTTTGGGGTGTGATCTCGTAGTTCACGTCACTGAGTTGTCGTAACACTTTGTAGGGGCCATGGTAGTGTGGTAGTAGCTTCTCTGATAAGGCCGACTTGGCGGTTTCGTGTCCAGAGAAGTACCAGAGACACCAGCGGTAAGTGCACACTTTGGTGGCGACTGTCACAACGGTCTTTTTGGTGCTCTTGCGACAAGTGTAGTCGATCATGGGCAAGCTGACGGGCTGCATGGGCTCTAGAAACGACAACGCTGGCGTACTCAGTAGACAAGGGGGCAGCCGAAGGAAGGAGTGGTCAAATGGTAGTGCAGGATGTCGGCCAAATAGTAAATAAAACGACGAATAACTAGCTGTGTCGTGCCGTGAACAGTTGTACTCAAAGGGGAGTGCTTTGTCCCAGTCACTGTGATCTGGTGAAACGCACATTGACAGCATCTGCGTCAGCGTTCGGTTCAGACGCTCGGTCAATCCGTTTGTCTGTGGATGATAAGCGGTGGTTCTACTGAAAATGAGAAAACCGCAAGTGGACATAGAGGAGCCCTAATGGCGAAAATAAGAACGAAATAGACTTTATAATGAGCGCACACCCAGGCATCGTGCAGGATGTGGAAGTGGTTGGCAAGGCACGATGCAGTGACCATAGAATGATCCAGTCTCAAATTCGCCTAGACTTGAAGAAGGAACGACAGAAACTGATACGCAAGAAGCCAATCAATGAGCTAGCACTGAGAGGTAAGTACAGGAATTCAGTTTCGCTTCAGAACACGTACTCGGCTCTTAGTGAGGAAACCAACCTTAGCGTAGATACAATGAATGATAATCTGACGAGTATCATTATGGAGTGTGCAGTGGAAGTTGGAGGCAGGGTAGTTAGACAGGACACTGGCAAGCTTTCCCAGGAAACGAAGAATCTCATTCAGAAGCATCAAATCATGCAAGCCTCAAGTACAACAGACAAAATAGAACTGACAGAGCTTTCGAAGTTGATTGAGAGGCGTAAGGTATGCAATGTAAGACGGTATAAGATGGCGAGAATCGAACACGCTATGAAAAACGGAGGAAGCGTCAAAGCAGTGAAGAGGAAACTTGGAATAGGCAAAAATCCTATGTATGCACTAAGGGACAAACAAGGCAAAATAACTACCAATATGGATAGGATAGTTAAAATAGCGGAGGAGTTTTACAAAGATCTGTACAGTAGCTGGGCCAACCACGATCTTAATACTACAAGAACTAGCAGTAACCAAGCTGACACCCCACCAGTAATGATAGAAGTCAGAAAAGCTTTGGAGAGCTTGCAAAGAGGCAAAGGTGCTGGTGAGGATCAGGTAACATCAGATCTGCTGAAAGATGGAGGACAGATTGTGTTAAAAAAACTAGCCACCTTGTTTACGAGGTGTCTCCTGACGGGAAGAGTACCAGAGTCTTGGAAGAACGCTAACATCATCTTAATACATAAGAAAGGAGATGACAAGGACTTGAAGAATTACAGGCCGATCAGCTTGCTCTCGTAGTATACAAGCTATTTACAAAGGTAATTGCTAACAGAGTAAAGAAAACATTAGAATTCAATCAACCAAAGCAACAAGCAGGATTTTGAACAGGCTACTCAACAATTGACCACATTCATACTATCAATGAGGTAATAGAGAAATGCTCAGAATGTAACCAAATACTATACACACCCTTCATAAATTACGAGAAGGCGTTTGATTCAGTAGAACTATCAGCTGTCACGCAGATACTGTGGAATCAGGGCGTCGATGAAGTATATATGAACATCCTGCAAGGAATCTACAGGGGATCAACTGCTACCATATTGCTTCATCAAGAAAGCAACAGAATACCAATCAAGAAGGGTGTAAGGCAGGGGAATACAATCTCCTCAATGCTATTTACCGCGTACAGGGGATCAACTGCTACCATATTGCTTCATAAAGAAAGCAACAGAATACCAATCAAGAAGGATGTAAGGCAGGGGAATACAATCTCCCCAATGCTATTTACCGCGTGCTTACAGGAGGTTTCCAGAGGTCAAGAATGGGAAGAGTTAGGGATAAGAGTTAATGGAGAGTACCTTAGTAACCTGCACGTCGTCGACGACATTGCATTGCTGAGTAACTCAGGGGACGAATTGCAACTCATGATTATGGAATTAGACAAGGAGAGCAGAAAGGTGGGTCTTAAAATTAATCTGCAGAAAACGAAAGTAATGTACAACAACCTCTGAAAAGAGCAGTGCTTCGAGATAGGTAATAGTGCACTTCAAGTTGTAAAAGACTATGTCTATTTAGGGCAGGTAACAACCGCGGAACCGAACCACGAGAATGAAGTAACTAGAAGAATAAGAATGGGGTGGAGCACATTTGGCAAGCACTCTCAAATTGTGACAGGTAGTTTGCCACTATCCATCAAGAGGAAGGTATATAACATTTGTATCTTGCCGGTACTCAGCTACGGAACAGAAACCTGAAAGCAGGATTTTGAACAGGCTACTCAACAATCGACCACATTCATACTATCAATGAGGTAATAGAGAAATGCTCAGAATATAACCAAATACTATACATACCCTTCATAAATTACAAGAAGGCGTTTGATTCAGTAGAACTATCAGATGTCACGCAGACACTCCGGAATCAGGGCGTCTATGAAGTATATATGAACATCCTGCAAGGAATCTACAGGGGATCAACTGCTATCATATTGCTTCATAAAAAAAGCAACAGAATACCAATCAAGAAGGGTGTAAGGCAGGGGAATACAATCTCCCCAATGCTATTTACCGCGTGCTTACAGGAGGTTTTCAGAGGCCAAGAATGGGAAGAGTTAGGGATAAGAGTTAATGGAGAGTACCTTAGTAACCTGCACGTCGCCGACGACATTGCATTGCTGAGTAACTCAAGGGACGAATTGCAACTCATGATTACGGAATTAGACAAGGAGAGCAGAAGGGTGGGTCTTAAAATTAATCTGCAGAAAACGAAAGTAATGTACAACAACCTCTGAAAAGAGCAGTGCTTCGAGATAGGTAATAGTGCACTTCATGTTGTAAAAGACTATGTCTATTTAGGGCAGGTAACAACCGCGCAGCCGAACCACGAGAATGAAGTAACTAGAAAAATAAGAATGGGGTGGAGAACATTTGGCAAGCACTCTCAAATTGTGACAGGTAGTTTGCCACTATCCATCAAGAGGAAGGTATATAACATTTGTATCTTGCCGGTACTCAGCTACGGAACAGAAACCTGGAGACTTACAAAGAGGGTTCAGCTTAAATTGAGGACGACGTAGCGAGCAATGTAAAGAAAAATGGTAGGTGTAACCTGAAGAGACAAGAAGAGAGCAGAGTGGATTAGGGAACAAACGAGGGTTAAGGATATCATAGTTGAAATCAAGAAGAGGCAATGGACATGGGCCGGGCATATAGCGCATACACAGGATAACCGCTGGTCACTAGCGGTAACTAACTGGCTTTCCAGAGAAGGCAAGCGGGTTAGGGGAAGACAGAAGGTTAGGTGGGCAGATGAGATTAAGAAGTTTGCGGGTATAAATTAGCAGCAGCAAGCACAGGATCTGGTTAATTGGGGGAACATGGGAGAGGCCTTTGTCCTGCAGTGG